AGCGCCTCGCGGGCGGCCGCGCCCGCAGCGTCTTGGCGCGCCCCGCGCCGCGGCTCCGCTCCCGCCGCCTCTCCTCGGCGCTGAGCAAATATTTTGCGTAGCGCCGACGCTCCGGCGGGGCGGGCATCAAAGCGCTGCGGTCGGGCGCAGCTCCCGCTAAGGCCGCGCCGCCTCCTGTTTGTTTGTCCGCAGCTACTACCTCAAAGAGTCGAAGGGCAGTCGGCGGTGGCTGCTGTTCCTGGAAGGTGAGCCTCCGGCGCCGCCTCGCCCGGGCGCGGCTCGGGGCGGCCCCGCGCTGGCCGCCTGCCCTCGGCTCCGGGCAGCCCGCGCCTGCGCGCGGGGGCGGCGCGGCGTGACCCGCGGTGCCCCGCAGGGGGCTGGTACTGCTTCAACAGGGAGAACTGCGACACGCGCTACGACACCATGCGGAGGCTGATGAGCTCCAAGGAGTGGCCGGCGACCAGAGTGGGTGAGCGTCGCCCGGCGCCGGGGCTGCTCCTTCCCGCGGGAGGCACCGCCTGGAGGCGCGGGCGGGCACGTGGGCGAGCTGTGTTACGGCTGTGGGCAGCGCTGCTCACGGATCTCCGGCCCGCGTCCCCCTCTTTATTGTAAATGCATCCCAGAGCCACCGGGATCTTCTAAAGCTTGGTTTGGTCATTTGTTTTGAAGCACGTTTGTGCTTCTCTCAATCCACCCCTTCCCCGCTCGGTCGCAGCGCCCGTCATAGTGCCGTGTGTATCAGTGCACGTAAAAGCACCTTTGGCTTTTTTGATGTCACACATAGGCTGAACTGATACCCGAAGCTGCGGGGCTTTGGGGCTGGCAGAGCATTGCCAGCCTCCCTTCATTCTCGCTGCACTCAGTCCATCCTCATCGCATCCCTTGACTGCTCCCATTTGCAGGTGCATGTGCTGTCGCTCACCCGAGGGCACTGGGTGTCTGGGGAAGTGCTTACTCTGTGCCATGGGGCCTTTCTGTGCTGCAGGAGCTGTATGGATGGAGCTCTCTAGGCAGGCTCCAGCCCTAACACAAACCACGTCCTGTAGCTCACAGTGTCACTGAATGTTCCCTCTTTGTGTCTATCTGCAGGAACGGGGATCCTGTCGTCACAGCCGGAGGAGAACCCCCACTGGTGGAACGCCAACATGGTGTAAGGAGAGAGCGCTCAGGGAGATGGGTTCTGCTGTCACAGCAACTCCTGCTTTGGGGTAGCAAGAATGCTGCAGGGACAGGTTGAGGCTAACAGGCACATGAGGAAATTGCCCATTTCCTCATTAGATGCCATACACATCTAACTGAAGTTGTGCCGGCCTGGACTGGAAAACTCCAAGTCTGCTCTGCAAGGAGCTGTGGGATGATGGAGGAGGACTTGGGGTAGCTGAGAGCCTTCTCAAATAGATGAAGTGGCAAATCCTGTGGCTGGCTGGTGGCGTGTTGTATGTCTGCCAGCTCAAGGGGAACATGGAATCACTTCTTTAGTTCAAAGAGAAATGAGAAAGTTCCATTTATACATGTCAGTGTAGGAGGGAAAAGCAGAGGGATGTGAACATGCATCCTGCAAGCTGTAGACAAATGGGGAAGGTAAAATCATTCCAGACTCAGCGTTGCACGGCTGAATGTCTTCTCAGTGTAGGTGTGACAGAACTGAAGCACAGTTTCACAGTGCAGGCACCACTGTGTCAGTGGGAGCTGAGGGCAACTTCACAGCCCTCTGCCCTGCCCAGCTGGCATAGCGCTTCAGTTAGATCAACAGAAGGCACGTTCTTTGTTGATTTATCTCAGTAAAGCCACCAGTGTTAGGAGGAAATGGGCCTAAGTGTCCCATGGGTGTGCAGGAAGGTGTGGCTGGGGGCTGTGTGGATGAGAAGCCGTTCCCTTCTCCCCTCCCCAGGGTTCAATTTTCTTCAGTCGTGTGACCCCATCCTCACCCCGCAGGAACGCAGCACTCACACAACTCTTTTTCAGATTCATCCCGTATTGCTCAAGTGATGTTTGGAGCGGTGCCTCTTCCAAGTCTGAGAAAAGTGAGTGTTGGTGACAGGCTGTTGCTGCCGCAGACGTTGCACTTTGAAGGCTATGGCCAGATTTCTGTGAAATGCACGAATGGGGAACAGGCTTTTCTCACTGAAGGGCAGGAAAGAATATCGAGCTACTTCCAGATAAAACATCCTGATCTCTTTAGCGCAGTCTGTTTTGACATAGTTCAGAGCCACTGCTTGCGGAGATGTTACTGATGCAGTAGGCAAGGATTAGAGGAACTGAATTCCTTTTGGATGACTCCCCGGCTTCCAGCACACAGCAAATTAAACGGTGCAGCTGAGGAGCCATGGTTTGTTGCATGTGACTTTGGCTTTGCTGATGTGAGAGGCAAGTGAACTTAACTTCGAACTTGTCTCGGGGAGATATCTGTCCTTGGAAAGGAGCTGTTGTGTGTCACACTAAGAGCTATCTGCAGAATTCTTTGCAAATAGAATCACTGCTTTGCATACGTGCCCGCTTTGCTGTCCTTTTGATAATGCCAGAACTCAGCATCTGCCTGGAGGAGTCCTCTCCAGATCGAGCTCAGTTTCGCACGAGTGATCTGTTTCACCTTGTGTGGCTCTCAGTGCTCACTGAGTTAAGATATTACAAGAAGTAATACCTACAGAAGCAGTCTGCTTTGCTCTCATTTTCCTTCTCTTAGCTCATCAATTCCCGAGCACCGTGTAGGAAGGCCTTCTGCTGTTACCTTGTGTTCTGTTCACTGCTTATTCACTTCTTTCAGAAAAGTTTAACACTGGGGGAACATGCGGGTGGAGGGAACAGGCCAGTGTTCAGATCTGTGATCCTTCTGTAACGCTCTTTTGCATTTGTGGAGAAGTGAAGGTCTTACCCTGGGCAGGAAACAGCTCTGCTGACACTGAGGTCTCTGTTTCAGACGAATACGCCTTCATGGGAGCGCTGATCATCCAGGAGGTCATCAAGGAGCTCGTGGGAAAAGGTCTTAGCACTGCGAAAGTGCTGCTGCTGGCAGGGAGCAGGTATGTGTCTGCAGGGCTTCCACAGCAGAAGGCTCTTTGGGAAGAGTTCTCAGCAGCAAGCCCTACACCTGTTCTCCACGGGGTTGTCCAGGGGAGAAATGAAGTTGTTTAGAGCGTGGCTGCTGTGAGATGTCTGCTAGCAGCCGTGCCGTAGCTGTGCCTGCATCGTCACTGCAGCACTCAAATTGCTGTTGCAGTGCTGGAGGAACAGGAGTGCTGCTGAACGTGGATCGTGTGGCAGAGCAGCTGGAGGAGATGGGGTACCAAGGGATCCAGGTGCGTGGCTTAGCAGACTCTGGGTGGTTCCTGGATAACAAGCAGTACCGCAGAACTGACTGCATCGATACCATCACGTGTGCTCCAACAGAAGCCATCAGAAGGGGAATAAGGTACAGTCATGCTCTGAAGTGTGCTTTTTTGTTCTCCCTCTTGGTCTTCCTGCATTCTGACACCTGAAGAGTATTTATTCTATAACATCAGTGGTCTCTTCAGGGATATTATATTTAAAATACAGACACGTGAAAGAAAATGTGCAGTTAGCTGCTCTAAAATGCATTGACTGTACAGTGTAGCCAAGAAAGAGCTTTGCTTCTAGTAAGTTGGCACTTTAACCAGAACAGAGATAGACCAGCATATGGAAAGATCACTGTTAAGATGTTACTATGACATTCATTCTGCTGTTGCTTTGTCTTCCAGGTATTGGAATGGTATTGTTCCTGAACGCTGTAAGCTGCAGTTTAAAGAGGGAGAAGAATGGAATTGTTTTTTTGGATATAAGATTTACCCCACTCTTCGATGTAAGTATTGGAGGAGAGAGAGAAAATGGATTCTGGGGTTTTCCCTGCAGATAACCTACAGCAATCTTTGCCTTTTTTTTTCTTCTTCTTCTTTTTGTCTTCCCAGGTCCGGTCTTTGTTGTCCAGTGGCTGTTTGATGAGGCCCAGCTTACTGTGGACAATGTACACCTCACTGGCCAGCCTGTTCAGGAGGGGCAGTGGCTCTACATTCAGAATCTGGGCAGGGAGCTGAGGAACACCTTGAAGGACGTGACGTAAGTCTTTGAGTGAGAAAAAGCGACGTGTGTACTTCCAAGAAAAGCCCTTTATCCAGTATTCAGATAGCATTTATCTGATCTCTGCAGACACTGGTGTCATACATTGATAACTATACTTAATCTATGCTAAGAATCTTGACGTTTTCATTTCTGAATAAGCACACAGTGATTTCCAGGCTCACAGTTACCAGCTGTCCTTTACCATCGATAAGAACATGTTGGTGCTGGTTGGTTTTGTTTTTTACCAGCCTCTACAGTGAGGTCTGAGACCCCTTGCCATTGCACAGCCATCCACCCCACGGGGTTGTTTTGGAAAGTGTTGATCCTTGAGAGCAGCTCGGCAGAGAAGGACCTGGGGGTCCTGATGGACGAGAGACTGAACATGAGCCAGCAGTGCGCTCTGGCAGCTCGAAAGGCAAATGGGATCCTGGGCTCCATCAGGAGAGGGGTGGTCAGCAGGGACAGGGAGGTGATCGTCCCTCTCTACTCGGCTCTTGTGAGGCCCCATCTGGAGTACTGTGTCCAGGTGTGGAGCCCTCAGTACAAGAAAGACATTGAGATTTTGGAAAGGGTCCAGAGGAGGGCGACTGAGATGATCAGGGGGCTGGAGCACCTCCCCTATGAGGACAGGCTGAGGGAGTTGGGCTTGTTCAGCCTGGAGAAGAGAAGGCTGCGGGGTGACCTCATTGCAGCCTATCAATACCTGAAGGGAACCTACACCCACGAGGGGAGTAAACTCTTCAAAAGGGCTGACAACAGCAGGACTAGGGGAAATGGATCGAAGTTGAAGGAGGGAAGATTTAGGTTGGATGTTAGGGGGAAGTTCTATACAAGGAGAGTGGTTAGGCCCTGGAACGGGCTGCCCAGGGAGGTTGTGGATGCCCCGTCCTTGGATGTGTTTAAGGCCAGGTTGGACGGGGTCCTGGGCAACCTGATCTGAATGTGTGTGTTTGGTGGCCCTGCTAGGCAGGGGGGTTGGAACTACATGATCCTTGAGGTCCCTTCCAACCCGGGTGATTCTGTGATTCTGTGATCTGTGATCATAAAACACTGAGATGGTTCTTCTTCCGTTGTCTCATCAACTATTAATGTAGTTTAGTTGCTGTATGCAACTTGCAGCAGATGCAGGATGGAACCCCTTTTCTTCTGGGTACTTTAGAGTCCAGCCAGGTTTTATGTCATGATAGTCATTGCTGTTCCAAACAATTTTGTCAGGGCAGCAAAAATTCCACCCTCTGCCTCGCTGCAAAGATTCTATTCAACAGGAGTTAACTGTCCTCCCAAGACCTAACCTGTGTTTCTGTTTTCTCCTTTAGTGCTAGCTTTGCTCCTGCCTGTTTGTCTCATGAGATCATTACACGCAAGTGAGTGGTTTTACAGCTTCTGTAAAAGGTCAACATGAGAAGACCAGGGGAAATAACGGTTCTGATAGCCTGACCTCTGTGACACAACCTGTATGGTTTGTCTTTTCAGCCATTGGACGGACATCCAGGTGAAGGGGACATCATTACCCCGCGCCCTGCACTGCTGGGATCGGAGCCTACATGAGAGCAACAAAAATGGGAAGGCCCCTCTGAAAGGTTGCCCAATTCATCTGATTGACAGCTGTCCATGGCCCCACTGCAACCCCTCGTGCCCCACTATCAGGGACCAGTTCACAGGGCAGGAGATGAACGTGATCCAGTTCCTCATGCACATGGGTTTTGACGTGCAGAAGATGGCACAGCAACAGGGCCTGGAGCCCAGTAAACTCCTGGGGATGCTCAGCAGTGGTAACTAGGAGGGGATCTTGCCAGGGGCAGAGAGATTAGATCAGGAGGAGACTCGGAGCCCTTCTCCCACACTCTCTAATCTTCCTTACGCTCATGCAGGCTGGTGCACGCTCACCCCCACGCAGGCTGAAACCTGCACACCCCCATTTGCTCCCACTCTCTTGCACACTTTGGATGTTTTAAAAAAAAAAAAAAAAAAAAGCAATTTCTTGCTCACACTGTTTGACTGGAACGTGTTACCTCCAAGCTCCAGGGCTCGGTCTTGGCCATTCACATCCTCTTCTGTGTTACACAAGGCAATCTGACACAGCGAGTAGAGAAGCCATAAACATAGCACGATGAGAACCTTCCCCAGATCTAGGACTTTCTCCCTTGCCATGAATTTGACAACATAGACTCGTACAAGTGGTGAAAAAAGCAAGCACTGGATTTCTTTTGTCCAACTAGAAGTGAAGAAATGATTACATGACTTCCTGGAGGCCAGCATCTCATCATGTATCGCAGTGCACAAACCAAGGACACGTGCTAGGGATGGACACTCTTGTAATCAACTTACTTTTGTCTTATTTTATAAAATGACTTTTTTATTACTTTTTTAAAACTAAGCAAGAAATATAAATGATATTGTTTTGTAACATATTTTTTTTAAAATAACGAAGAAACCTCTTGCTACTTTGGCAATGTGGACATATTTATTTTAATATGTAAAATGCTATTTATAAGAGCTGACCAGAGAACCATTCATATGTCTTTGTAAAGTTGTATATGCTGCTCATTTGGATGGGATTTCCTTACGATCACTGTGCCTGGCCGTGGGCTGAGAGTGGTGTTGTCATTTTATAATAACGAGACTCTGGTGTTCCCCTCGCAGTTTGCTTTGTCGTTCCCTCTAAAGAAGATTGTAGTGTATGAAGATGGAGATTTTCACCCAGCAGCTGCTGTTTGCATCCTTACACGGCATTTTCAGCTTGAGGATTGTGATTTATCAGCTATTCCAGGGCATTGCATTTTAAGATATGTTTTTATAGCAGTTAAGAAAGGTTTGGTTCAAGCGGGCCTGTCTCGAAAGGCAAAGTGTTTCCAACATAAAAGCACAAGACAAGAAACAACGTATTTCCATTTGTGAACACACCTTCCTCTTTGAAATGGGGATGAGAGCAGGGGAGGGATCAGAAGCGTGGCTGAAGCTGGAGGCAGCACGAGGCTGTTCCTCAGGGCAGGAAGAAGCTCATGCAAAAGCTTCCCTCGGTGCTGGGTCAGCGCAGACAAAGCTGTGCGCAGAGCACAACTGCCATCCTTCCTGCAGAGGACCTTAACACCTCCTTTGCTTTCACTTGCACTGTGGTAATGGTTGCACAATGCATAAGCAACAGAACTTTAGGGCCTAACGTTAGAAAAATTCCATGTGCTTTCAAGAGAGAGCTTCCCAGGTTAAAGGCAGTGCTGCCTGCGAGCTCCAACCGTTCCCTTACTCTGTGCACTGCAGCAAATGCACAGGCAGCACTGTGCTGGGGAGCAGTGCTGCTGTGCAAGATGGGGCTTAATGCACAGCTCAGCTGAAGTGCTAAGGAGAAAATGAACGGTGCTCCCAGCAGAGCTGAAATGCCAGAAAGCTATCAGTGCAGTTTCCGTATTATTTGTGTAGGAATTACTAACATTTTGCATGCTTTAATAACGGATGTAACGTTGTTCTGACTACACTTTTCGTGGCGCTAAACTGAGAGGCTTCTTCAGTACAGGGAATGTTTGAAAGCATGCAGACAGCAGGATTCCTTTGAGGGCTGGAGTTGCTGAGGGTCGATCAGTGCAGAGCTCTGGTAGCTGAGTAGCAGCCAGAACTGCTGCCATGCACTTGTTCTTCTCTTGGGAGCATCGAGGGAAGCTGCTGCATCTGTCAGTTGCTCTCGAATGGTTGTACACAAGCTGATGCATTTTGATGGCAAGTGCCTGCTCTGTGTCCAGCCATGTTTCTGCCAGGAAACGTATAAATATGCAATATTTTCCACAGAGCTGGTTGCCTGTATTTCTAAAACATGAATCCAAAGGCTAATTTCTAAATGGCAAGGAATGTTCACAGGGGTTGTATGACATCTCTTTTTTTTCTTGCAAACAGGAAAAAATTCCCTAGAAGTCAGCAATCTCTAGTTTAGTGTGGCTCTGCAACAGTATTTTGAAAGATATAACAGAGCAGAAGCCCTCAGAAATACTGTTAAGGGGGGAATTTAGCTAATTTATTAGAAAAAATTATATGATGTGGTTGCCAGCAGTATCTGGTAACCAGAATCTGTAACCCAGAGGGTGATTTCCAGCTCTATATTTCTTCTTGTACTTGTGCAATAAATATAATTTTCCCAAGCCTTTGTGAAGCTGACACTTCTAAATTCACCACCAGTGATATTTGCTACATGGAAGCCAACAGCAAGAGGGGTGAGACTGGAAGAATTCCATACCATGTGTTTGTACACTCAGATCTCATGACTAGATGAGATGCTTTCTATTAGAAACTCATCACTGAAAAATTGTCCCCAATAGGATCATGTGATTGAGCTAAAATTAAAATGCAATTAAGAAATCAAAAGCTGACAGTGGATGTAAGTATGTGCACTGCATGGCTGCAGTTCCAGACTCAGCATAGCCAGCATGGTGCAGCTGCAGCCAAATGCTTCGATGGGGAGAAAGGGCCTGGAGGAGCTCTGGTTGTGACTCAAGAAGAAAAATGATGAGCGTGAATTCAGCTGCGTTTGCGTGCAACAGAACGCTGCTTATGGAGTGATGCTATGGTAGCTGTACCTTGTAACAGCCCTCAGCTTACAGGACGTGCCACAGAACGGAGCAGCACTCAGCGATGAACCATGGAATCACAGGATGGTTGGAGCTGGAAGGGGCCCTAAAGGCCATCTGGTGCCACCCCTGCCCTGAGCAGGGACACCCACAGCTCCATCAGTGCTCACAGCCCATCCCTGCCCTTGGCTGTCTGCAGGGATGGGGCACCACCGCCTCTCTGGGCAACCTGTGCCACTGCCTCACTGCCTGTAGTGTTAAAACTTCTTCCTAATATCCGGTCTAAATCTTTCAGTCTGAAACCATTTCCCCTGTCCTACCCAACAGACCCATTAAAGAGTCTGTCCCCATCTTACAGCCCCTTTAGACTCTTATACCGCCTGGAAAAGGCCCTGTTGGAGGAGAAGGATTAACATCACAGAGTTAGGAGGGGCAGAGATCAATGACAGCGAATCTCCCATGCAGCCCCTCAGCCCCTGGACTGCATTTCCTGTTTGTTGTGATGTTAATCGTGTCAATTCCACCCCCAGGTCACAGCAGCAGTGTGTGGGTGCAAGCAGGATGCTGGCCAGCCTCACACACAGAGCATGGCTGGACCAGGGGCAGCCCCACCTGCACAAACCCAGACCCCATCCCGACTGCACACCAAGACTGGCTTGAAGCAGCAATTCTCTGTTGCCACCTCTGCCTGCTGTGGGATTTGAGGTTGGGGATGACCCTGGGTGTGGGAGCGTGGCAGTGGCCCGGTGCCACGCGAGGGCTGCATGAGGAATCCCTTCTGTGGCGTTTTTTGCATTCCAAAGTCGCAACAATCATCTTATTTAACTTTTATAGTCGAAATGAAGAGACTTCTCAGCTGCGAAGAAGCCTGGGGAAATGTACACCATAAACGGCGATGGGGAAAGCTATGATCAAATTGTAAGGTTTGACCATTTCTATTGGAATCCGTGTTCCAAAGCAGAGCAAAGGATATCAAAGCCATTTTTTTTGTCAACGGTTGCATTTTGGATTTGGCGCTTGGGATAAGAATAAGCAGTTCCCACATTAGTAAAACAGGGAGACGGAGAGGATTGGTGTCCGAGCCCTCGCAGCACAGCGGGGCCTTTCACAGCATGCAAATCTATCGCTGCTCCAGATCAAAAGGAGCAAAATGAGTCAGCTTCTATCGCAGGCTTTCTCAGTGCCCGTGGGGCATCCAGGCCCGTCCCCCCCCAGGGCTGTGCTTGGGGCTCTTGAGCTGCATGCAGAGCAGCACTGACCGACACACGTCCAGAGGAGCAGAAGGGCGACCCAGAGCCGCGATGGAGCTCGTGGTGTCAGTGTTAAATAACACTGCTCAAGGCAGTTGAGGGGGGCAGGACTCGTTCCAGCACTATTAATATAGCCCCTATTTATATGCCTGGGTTCCTGAAAGTGCCACGGCAGAGCTACAGCTGCAGAGCTAAAATGGAATAAATGTCAGCCCCTGGGGAGAACGTGATCCTTTCAGCCATCGTGAGGGAAAGCAGGCAGCGAAAGGACAGAATAAGGGACAGCATTCAGAGCCGGGAACGGATCGCAGCACCCCGAGAGCGCAGCCGGTGGGCAGAGCCAGCAGCAACCTCCCTGCAGCAGCACTCCGTGCCAGAGACGCACACTCAGCGTCAGCACAGCACCTACGGATACCGGCAGAGGGAGGCAGGAATTGGAGCTGTTGTCCGCTGATCCGGTGCCAGGTGTGACTCAGGACAAAGGGCAAAAGCCTGAAAGGAAGTTTGGGTGGTTGCTTTTTTTTTTTTTTTAAGTGCATCATCTGCAGGACTGGAAAGATGATGGAGAGCACAGGAGGGCCATATCTGAACACCGCGGCTGTGACATCTCCAGTGGGAATAGTTCGTTTGCTGCAGATGATGTTCGGATGCACCACGTTCAGCCTGGTGGCCCACCAGGGGGGATTCAGCGCAGCATACGGCACTTTCTGCATGTTTGTCTGGACCTTCTGCTTTGCTGTCACTGTCTTTATCATCACCTGCGAGTTCACGCACCTGCACAGCTGTCTGAGCATCTCCTGGGGAAACTTCACAGCTGCGTTCGCCATGCTCGCCACGCTCATGTCGGTCACAGCGGCGGTGATTTACCCGCTCTACTTCGTGCAGCTCGGCTGCTACCCCATCACCTGCGAGGTGAGAGACTTCCGCATAGCGGCCAGCGTCTTTGCCGGCCTCGTGTTTGTTGTGTACGGCGCGGAGGTGTTCTTGACCAGGGCCAAACCAGGACAGGTCACCAGCTACATGGCCACCGTCTCCGGGCTCCTGAAGATCGTACAAGCCTTTGTGGCCTGCATCATCTTTGGGGCGCTGGTGAACGACAGCCAGTATAGCAAATACGTGGCCACACAGTGGTGCGTGGCCGTCTACAGCTTCTGCTTTATGGTCACGGTGGTGGTGGTCGCCTTCAGTGTCACAGGTAAGACCGCCCAGCTGTGTTTCCCCTTCGAGCGCTCTGTGGTCGTCTACACTTTTGGGGCCGTCCTGCTGTACGTGAGCGCAGCCGTCATCTGGCCGGTGTTCTGCTTTGACAGCAAGTACGGCTCCCCGCAGCGCCCCAGCGCCTGTGCTAAGGGCAGGTGCCCCTGGGACAGCCAGCTGGTGGTGGCCATCTTCACCTACGTCAACCTGCTGCTCTACGTGGTTGACCTGGCGTACTCCCAGCGCATCCGCTTCGTATCCCACATCTGAGGCCCGGCTCTGCCCCGGCTCCAGCAGCAGCAGCAGGAAATGGGACGCGGTGAGGACGGGCACTGACTGCGCCACGAACCAGAGCTCATTGCCAGGGCTGAGTGGGCCCACGGTCTCAGCCTGCAGTGGGTCAGCTGCCCACCCCCCATCAGTCGGCATTTGCTTCAGCCACCTGGTACCAGAGTGAAGAAATCCTGCAGTCTGAAGTATGCAAAATGGCCTCTCATCTCCAGAAGGCAAAAAATGCTTGCTGCAATAGTGGGTCTGTAAGCTGCTGGAATGCTGAGCCAAATATTAGGAAAGACACCAAAGATTTTGAAACTGTTACCAACACTTAACTATAATCAAGTGACTACCCAGGAAGTGGGAAAGTTAAAAGCTGCATCAAGGAACAGCAGTTCCAGAGACGAAAAACAATGCTGGAGTTTGGGTTAGTCTGGGCTGTGTGGTGAGACATGAAATACTTGCAAATGTGGGAAATTCCAGTCAGGATGTTTCTGAGAAGAACATCATAGCTGCGATATTATTTTGATGATTTCCTTTCCCTCTGCTCCCCTGTTTAGCACAGAAAAAGAATATCCCAAGCACGCACCTCGAGGGGGAGCACAGGGTACTCTATTTAGCAAGCACCAAGTCTGTACAGAAATGAACATTTGTGAAACTGGAGTTCTACTGCCAAGAAATGGTGCAGAATAGACCCAAATTGCAAAGCAACCGCAACCAGACGTTCTTGCTTGGACAGGACCAGAGGGCACCTCAGCACCTGCGCTGCTCATATGTCACTGCTTCTTTATACCGATGTCAGGATTGTTTTCCTGGAAGTTTAAAGATAAATTTTAAGGGTGGAGGTGGGGATGAAGGGTATGCAAAGATGAATCGCTATCACAGCCCTGCATAAAAGCAGGGTCCCAGGGTTCCTGTGTAGGGAACCTGCTTTGGCAGGGGGGTTGGACTCAAGGATCCCTGGAGGTCCCTTCCAACCCCTACAATTCTGTGATTCTGTGATAACGACTGAACTCGTAGGGAAAATCCTTGCATGTAATGGTAACAAACCGGGGGTGCTGGCTCAGAGCAGATCAGGTTCTGGGATTCCTGAGCTCTGTGTGTCACACACCAGCTGTGCTCCTCCGACCCATCCCTGACAAAACACCCAAAAAAGTCCCACATAGCATGGCTCAGATTTCCGGCTTAGCTGAACAACTCCTCACTTGCCATCAGGCAGACACGAAAGCAGCCCGAGTTCTCATGCAGAGCAGATAGATTGGATTAAAATCCAGAAGCAGCTGACGGACAGAAGCGAGATTTATTTTTAAGCAAATTAAAATAAAGCTGAATGGCAGCCTTGCAGACGACACCTACAGAGGTTTGTGTCCTTTCCCTTTGTGCAGCTTTTATCTCAGCAGCCAGAGCCCTTCTGCTTTCCAGCACAAAGCACGGCTCTCACTTCGTGTTGATGCACAAAGCCTGCATGGCCCAGGCCGCCAGCACTGCTGGATGACATTCTTTGTAGCACTCGCTCAGGAAAAAGGAAGGAAAGATATTTTTCATTATTGCCTTGTGTGGGGTTTGAAGAGCAAAGGAAAAAATGTCCGTTGGGTGAGGTTGCATTGCACAATACTACCACTCTAAGGACTTTAGCTGGAACCATAAGCCCATGAAAGAAGCATTGGTATCTATTGGAATGTGCCATGCAGCCTTCCAAGGGCTCTTTTCTCTTCCACAAGTTCCCATTAAGGCAGGAAATTTGGAAGATGATGGCTGAGCAAGGGGCTGGCTGGCTTATGCAAGTGCAGAGCTTTGTGCTATCCAGTGTAGGTATAAAAAGGGACACGAGGGAGCTTTATTTCCTGCAAACCAAGCAAAATCAAGGGTTGTACCAGTAAGAATTGCTGTTTGGATGAGAAATCCGTTTGTTTTAGAGCAGGCAGTGTGACCAACAGAGCCACTGCATGCAGAAGGATCCCTGAGCCTTTAAATGCATTCTTTTTAACCCGGTTAACCTGGACAAATGAAGCCGTGTAACTCTTGGAAATGTATTCCATTGTTGATATGATAGAGTGCAAAAAATCAAATAGGTGACCCGAAAAAACAACAACAACAAAGGGATTTTGCTTGAAGAAAGCATCATCCTTCCTGCAGACTCCATTTTGTTACGGGGGCCCAGCAGATGCCGCCAAATCTCACATGCAATCTGCTGGAAGTTCCTCTGCTGCACAACACCTTTTTCTTTTCTCTTTTTTCCTTTTCGCTTGCTTCTCTTGCTGTGCAGGTTTTGCACCCAGCAGTGAGCAGAACCACGGCACAAAGCTGAATGGCACCAAGCGACACCACTGGAGGGGGGCATAATGTGAGGCCAAAGGGAAACCATGGGGGCAACATTTGGTGCCTCAACGATGACGAGGAAATCAGACGTAAGGTGGAAATGATGATAGCATGCAGTGGAGGAGTGGAAAGAGAAGCATTGCCAAGAACAGCCTGTTCAGATTCAGCCCTCTCATCTGTCAGCCAAGGGCTGAGCAAAAATGTTCGCATGGTCAAAATGGCAAAAAAGGCAGATTTGTGGACAACAATTCGCTCTTTTAGGGGGAAAAAAAAATAAAAATAAGCAATCCTCGTGCTTTGGTGGTTAAAAACCCTCAAACCATTGGAAAGAATGAGATTGCCCAATCCTGGACACAGAACATCCCGTATCTGCTTAATGCGATTTTAACAACCAGCCCTGTCGTGATCCAGTTAATTAAAAAGCCCTTTATTTCCAGAGCCCGTCCTCCTTAATTAGCAAATGATGATGGAGGAACTCATCACAGAGGCGTCCTGGGATGGCGCTGTGGTATGCCGACATGTACGTGCGTGCATTCAGAGCCCGGCTCTGTGCTCGAGCCCGGGTCCCAGAATTACGCATTAAGAAATGAGACACGGAATGCAAACAAGCACAAAACCCCCAGGACGAGGAGCGCCGCCCCAACACAGGGCGGGACCCGAAGCTTCCAGAAGGGACCGCGCTCCGCGCTCGGCTGCGGCGGGACGAGAGCGCCCCCTGGCGGCTCGGAGCTGAGAGGCAGCGGCCGGCCCCGGGCGGTCCGCGTAGGCGGTGAATGATGCAACACCCGGAGCGAGTTGCACCAATCGCTGGCGAGAGCTCAGCCGGAGGCCCCGCCTCTCGCCCTTGAGAGGCGGAGAGCCGGCGTGGCCCCGCCCCTCAGCTTGACGATTGGCTACGCGCTTTCGCCCCGCCCCAATGCGCCGCGTCACCGCCTCTCTGAGCGGAGCGCGGCCACGTGGACGGCGGCGCGGTTGCAGGTGGGCTTTGGTCGCTCCGCACCGCACCATGAGCGTGGGATTCATCGGGGCCGGGCAGCTCGCCTTCGCCCTGGCCCGGGGCTTCACGGCGGCAGGTGGGTACGGGGTCGGGGGGCGTGGCGAGGTGCCCGGCGAGGTGCCCGGGCTGAGTCGCGCTTTGTCTGCAGGGATCCTGGCAGCGCACAAGATCACGGCGAGCTCCCCGGACACCGAGCTGCCCACCGTCAGCGGGCTGCGGGTGAGTGCGGGCGGCTGGGCGCTGCTCCCTGCTCCGAATCGGCAGCCACGAACCACAGCCGTCGCTTCTCTCTCCCACTGCAGAAAATGGGCGTGAACTTCACTGTGAGCAACAAGGACACGGTGAAGAGCAGCGACGTCCTCTTTCTGGCCGTGAAGCCCCCCATCATCCCCTTCATCCTGGACGAGGTGGGGCCCGACATCGAGGAGCGTCACATCGTGGTCTCCTGCGCTGCCGGTGTCACCATCAGCTCCATCGAGAAGGTGAGGGCCGGGCGGTGCTGAGCCGGGCAGGGCCATCAGGACAGCAAAGCGCTGGAAGTGGATTCAAGCCTGACCCCAGCATTGCCTGCGGTCCCCAGCACAGCACTGTGCTGTGCCCAGCTGGCTGCTTTGGGCCACCCTTGCCTCGTCAGAATAAGCTGCAGTGCTCCTCATGGAGGCTTTTTTATTACATGAAATGCTATCAGATCGCTTTTTCTCTCCGTGTGAGAAGAGGTGGGTCTCCTGTGAATTTCTGCAGACTTTGTGCTCAGTGTCTGCAGGAGCTGTTTTGGTGCCGATGGGGCAGCTGTGGAGGATGTTGTTCCCCACAGTGTTCTGTTTGGTGCTGTGACTAAGGATTTCATATTTAAGTTTTGCCCACTTTGACTTGAAGTGGGGAATTTGATACACAGGAGTCTCTCTGCTCCCCTGTTTGTGCTGCTCTTGCCCCTTGGGAGCCCCTTCCTGTTTGAAATGCCAGATATGCACTAAAGCTCTCTTTCATTTATTTTTTTCCTTCTTTCTCTCTATCTTCAATAATTTTCTGCCCTAAGAAACTCTCTGCCTTCTGCCCTGCACCTAAAGTGATCAGGTGCATGACCAACACCCCTGTGATTGTCCGAGAAGGTGCCACAGTCTATGCTACTGGGACTCATGCAGATGTGGAGGATGGGAAGCTCTTGGAACAACTTATGGCCAGCGTAGGCTTCTGCACAGAGGTGGAAGAGGACCTGATAGATGCTGTAACAGGGCTCAGTGGCAGTGGCCCTGCGTATGTATGTGCTGCTTTCTCAGTTCATGGAAATGCTGGGGACACTGGTGGGCTTTGCATGCACCGAAAGTCTGTGCACATTCAGTGTGTGTTTTCTTGTTTTTCTCATCACTGCCGTTCGTGATGGGACATGTAATCCAGGTATCCAGTTTATAACCAGTGTGGGTCAACAACAAAAGTCTATTACCAGTTGGATGAGGCTGAAGTCCATAGCCAGTGTGCAGTATCCACGTCTGTGTTGCAAAATCTGAGCCTGTTGTTAGGATGACCTAGAAGCTGAATTTCTTCCATTCTCCCTACAACTCAGCTGGAGCTGGTGGGAGAGAAGCGTGGCATGGCATCAATGCAGTAAAGGGGCTGACTTTTGTCAAGTCTTTGTAAGTCACAATGTGATCCTAGAGCTGTGGATTCTGCCTTCTGTAAGAAC